GGTCAGAGGTTCTGACAGGTGGACAGTAGAAACAGGTTGGTGTTTCTCAGCAGCTAAAATTTATTCAGGAACAAAATAAAACTTAAGATTGGATCAAAGAAGAAAATTAAACTTTTTTTGTTTTAATTTGGATTCTGTTTAGTTTTTTATTTTTCTTTCCAAGCTCTTTTATTTTGAAGGTAAAAATAATTCTGTTTCCCTGTGAAGTCTCCAGGACTCCTCTGATGTCATGGAAACAAACTGGTTCCTGTTTGTTTACCAGCAGGACTCTGTGAAAACCAGTCTGAGGCTTTAAATTCAATAAATTGACCTGAACTTTACTTTGTCTCGTTTATTTCTTCAATTTATTGATTTATTCTGCAGATGTTGCTCTATTCAGATGAACAGATGTTATTTTGTCTCTTTTTTTTAATTAATTTAGAACTTTATTAAACAGTATAGACCTGTTAGTCTGTTAGTAAAATAACTCAGGAATCACAGGATGATTTGTTTGTTAGATGAGTCAAGATGGCCGCCGCCTTTGATTTTAACATGTTTGTTTTATTTTTGTTTAGTTTCGTCACAGATTATCAGTTTTTTCCAGTCAATAAAAGCAGTACTGTGTACATGAAACAGTGGAAGATAAAACAATGACTGACAGCTTGTTTGGTGAAAAATACATTCCTACAAAATTCAAGTTAAATCAACTGAAATAAGTATAAAATTATAAAAAAAAAAAAAACGAGCTCTTGTCATGAATTCTCTTTACTTTGCAGCAGATTTTACTTGGATGTAATTTGAAGTTTTTTTTATGTAAAAATTCATTAAAATAAACACAAAAAAGGGCTTAGTTTTCAAAAAATGACATCTATGGACATATTGTTTGTCTAGAATTATACAAGTGTTTATAAAATATTTATTTTTCTGTCAGAAATCTTCCATATTTGACATCCTTACAGGTGTTTGTGCTTCAACTGTCTAAATCTAAATCTGAAATAAGCTTCAAAAGGTTCTGGTGTGGGTACAATAAATAAAATAAAAAATAAAGGTCCCACTGTTTCTAATTCTCTTTCACATAAAGTACAATTTTTATTCTCTTTTAAAACGTGTAAGAAATTCATTACTGTGAAAAATATTTAAAATTTAAAGTTTTTAGCTTTAGAAACTGGTGTATTTATGATTTTCACCTGGAAAATCTTAGAGAGCATTTATTCATTTTAATGGAAGAGGATATAATTGTTTTATAATTGCTTTTCTTAAAACTTTGTGCATTGTTTACTTTTTAAATCAAGTTCATCTGTCATCACTGAAGAGTTTTGGTGTTTATCTCATTAAATAATAACATTTCTTTAACAAAATGTATCATTTCTTGTGGAATTGCTTTAATAATTATAGAATATTGTTTTTTTTAACACTTGAGTCCAGATTTTAACAGATTATTAAAGTTTATTATTTATAGTTTGAGCTGCTGGAACCTCCTCTTCGACCTTGAACTCAACACATTCCATTAGCCCCGCCCCTCAAAGAGCCCGCCCGACCTTTTGTCCAATCAGGAYCTCTGGGCTCTTCGCCCCGCCCTTTATCATTTTTGATTCACCAATAAGGGTCACGGATGTGTATTACGTCATGAARAGAAGCCCCGCCCTGTAACACGTAACATGACTGACGGGTAGATCCACCAATCAGGACGCGCCTGGACCAAACTCGGGGCTTCGTGGTCCTGGGTTGTACATCCGGTTCTCTCGTCCTCCTGGAGAAAACGTGAGTACCGTTTTGGTTCTGTTTTGTTTACCGGGCCGAGCCTCAGAACCCTGTTAGCAGCAGCTAGCTGGTTCTGAGAGCGGTTGTTTGGGCCGCTGGTTCCGCTCAGTGAGGAGTGTGATGMTGGTTTCATTCATTACCTGCAGCTGCTGCACACCTGCACCTGTTCAACCATTATGACCACTGACAGGACAGCTGAGTTTTGGACCAGGACCGTAGAGGTTCTGGACTCTGCTCCATCAGCTGGAGCCAGAACCCACCTGAGACCCTGAGGAGACCACAGGTGTTCTGGAGGAGATTCTAGATGTTTCCATCATCTGATTGGTTCACATCTGGAGGACATATGGACACAGAGGAGGGACAACATCAGGACATTTTGTCTCCATCTCTAACTTCTTCTCTGTTTCCTCAGAATGGGAGGTGTTCTGGCTGCCAGCCCCCCAGCTCCACCCCCCGGCGCCGGCAGCTCCGCCTCCCTGGGGCTGACGGTGCCGCCGGGCTTCGGGACGCCTTCGGTGTCCTCTGTTGTCCCCCCGACCGGAGAGACCAAAGAGACCCCGAGGCGTCAACTGGAGGCGGAGACACCTCTAATCAACCCCGGCGCGTTCGACGAGTGCCACCGTAAATGTAAAGGTGGGTGGAGCCAATCACGAGGCTGTAAAGATCAAGCTGAAAATGTAGAAGTGGGTGGAGCCTATCAGGGGGCTGTAAAGATCAAGCTGAAAATGTAAAAGTGGGTGGAGCCTATCAGGAGGCTGTAAAGATCAAGTTGAAAATGTAAAAGTGGGTGGAGCCAATCAGGAGGCTGTAAAGATCAAGCTGAAAATGTAAAAGTGGGTGGAGCCAATCAGACGACTCAATATCGAGCTGAAAATGTAGAAGTGGGTGGAGCCAATCAGGAGGCTGTAAAGATCAAGCTGAAAATGTAAAAGTGGGTGGAGCCTATCACGAGGCTGTAAAGATCAAGCTGAAACTGTAAAAGTGGGTGGAGCCAATCAGGAGACTGTAAATATAAAGATGAAAATGTAAAAGTGGGCGGAGCCAATCATGAGACCTAACAAAAACTGAAGATGTAAACAGTCTGTTTTCCTCCACAGATGTGTTTCCTCTGCAGATGGATGGAGTCAGAGTCGTCGTGAACAAAGGCCTCAGTAACCACTTCCAGGTGGGTCCGGTTCCACTGAACCCAGATTAGCTCAGGATCCGAGTCTCCTGTTGGACCTGGACTCTGGTTTAACGTTAAACTGAATCCTTCCAGGTGAACCACTCGTTGCTGCTCAGCACCTCCGGAGAGTCCAGCTACAGGTTCGGAGCCACGTTTGTTGGGTCCAAACAGACGGGCCCAGCAGAGGTAAGAACCCCGAGTCCTGGATGTGTTCTGTCTGGTGTGGGTCTGTGAGGTGAGCTCCTGGTTCTGGTTCTGGTTCAGTTCTTTCCAGTCATGGTGGGAGACATGGACAGCAGCGGCAGCCTCAACGCTCAGATCATCCACCAGCTCACCGCCGGGCTCCGCTCCAAGCTGGCCTTCCAGGTACGAGCTGCAGGTCCTGGTCCAGGTCCTGGTCCAGGTTCTGCTGGAGCTGCTGTTCTTCATGTTGATGGGTTCTGGTTCTGTTCTGTCCTCAGACTCAACAACACAAGTTTGTGAACTGGCAGGGAGACGCCGAGTTCAGAGGAAAAGATTTTACTGCCACTGTGACCATCGGAAACCCAGACGTCCTCGCCGGTTCTGGTATGTGACCCGGTTCTGGTACATGACCCGGTCCTGGTACGTGACCTGGTTCTGTGGACAACCTTCATGTCCAGTCCCCGATGTGTGAGCGCTGAATCACGCTGCTGTTTTTATGTCAAAATATTCGGCTCATGTAGGAGATGATTTTAGCTGTTTTTGAATCAAAACATTCGGCTCAATTCAGGGGATGATTTTAGCTGTTTTTATCTTTAATACTTTTCCCCATAAAACAATTAAAGTTCATTTAAATTCCTTAATGTTTTAAATCTGCTTCAGCTGCTGACTCATGCTATGTTTGTCTTTAACTAGCATTAACTAACTTTAGCTTTTAGCTAGTCTTCAGCTATGTTTGTCTTTAACTAGCATTAACTAACTTTAGCTTTTAGCTAGTCTTCAGCTATGTTTGTCTTCAACTAGCATTTAGCTAAATGTAACTTTAACTAGCATTCAGCTACATTTTTCTTTAACTAGCATTTAGCTAAGTGTAGCTTTAGCTAGTCTTCAGCTATGTTTATCTTTAACTAGCATTTAGCTAACTTTACCTTTTAGCTCGTCTTCAGCGTTGAGCTGTTTGTGTCGTTAGGTATCATCGTGGCTCATTACCTTCAGTCCGTGACGCCGGCTGTGGCCCTGGGGGCGGAGCTTGTTTACCACCGGCGGCCGGGGGAGGAGGGAGCTGTCACCTCATTGGTCGGCAGGTACACAGGTGAGGCTGAGGTCACCCACCTGAGAGGAACTCAGGAGCCCCTCCTTCACTCTGTCCCCTCTCTGCAGGCAGTAACTACGTTGCCACGCTAACCGTGGGCTCGGCGGGGGCTCACGCGTCGTACTACCACAAAGCCAGCGATCAGGTGAGCTCACCTGGACGGTTTACCTTTTTAACCTTTGACCCCCGGATGTAACGGCTGTGTTCCCCTGCAGCTGCAGGTGGGTGTGGAGCTGGAGGCCAGCACTCGGCTGCAGGACACCAGCGTTTCCTTCGGCTACCAGCTGGACGTCCCCAAAGCTAACCTGCTGTTCAAAGGTACGGCCGGCGGAAACACCTGCTGACTCACCTGTTGGCCCAAGTTCTGGGTCCGTTTCTGATCAAACGACTTCTTCAGGTTCGGTCGACAGTAACTGGGTGGTCGGCGCCACGTTGGAGAAGAAGCTCCTCCCCCTGCCGCTCTCCCTGCTCCTCTGCTCCTTCCTGAACCACCGGAAGAACAAGGTGCAGGTCGGCTTTGGCATCACGGTGGGTTAGAGCGGCGGCTCCTCCTTTCCACTTCCTGTTTGACCCGTGACACTTCCTGTTTGACCCGTGAGTGAGGTCAGAGGTCAGGGGTCAGGGGTCAGCGTCTGCTCGCTTCATGTTCGTTTATAATCTGAGTGAAATCTGCTTCATGTGCAGAAAATAAAGTCAAATAAAATCAGATTTGATTGTTTGTTCGAGCAGCTGGTTTTGTTTATATTTTAAATGTAACTAAAATATCTGTAAAATACGTCTAAAACAAAAACATTTCTTATAAAATCTGCTGCTTTTTGGTTTTCCTTCATTAAAAACTGACTTTAAAAGAAACGTTTGACTTTAAACGTCTTATTTTTTTCTGCTGCTGGTTCTTTAAATCTGAATTAATGTTTTAACTTGAGTTTATTTTAACCCTTTAAAGCTTCGTTCCTACAGGGTTTCAGTTAAAATCATCTGAAGATAAAATGATAAAGTTTATCTGCCTCCAGCAGAAGGTCTTTATTTTTATGGTCTTTATTAAAACTTTACTCTGAGCACAAAGTCACTCTCAGGTTTTCTTCAAAAACACTAAACTTTAGCTACTTTAGGACCCGACAAAACTTGAGCTAGAGGTTTAAAACCTATTAAAATGAGAGGATTTTGTATTCTCGCTGCAGTTTGTTAAAGAACGTAAACAAGCTAAAAGCAGCAAAAACTTTTTGTTTATATTGATTTAAAGAAAGCCTTCGTCACTTTGATCACATTATTCTCTTTGAAAAGCTGAATAAATGAGATTAGAGGACGAGCTCTACAGTGACTCTCTACCTGTTTGAATAATGGGAAACCGCTTGTTCAAGTAAACAATGTAAGATCTTTATTAGATGTGGAGTTCCTCAGGGTTCCATGTTTGGATCAAAGYTGTTTCTGTTCAACGACAGTCAAACAGGAACCAAACTGGAATAATCTTTAGACCGATGTTAAAACTGCCGGATCAATTTGTGTTTAAGAGAATAAATATCCATTAAAGAGTTTATTGATATTAGCTGTGGTTCAGGAAGGACCTGACATTGTTTATTTGTTTATATTATTATTTTTAATTTATTTTTGTGAAAAAAGGGCAGTAATCACTTATTTTCTTCTTCCTGCTTCTTTTCATTTCATTTGATTTGTGTGTTTTTTTTTCATTGTTTTTATGATTTATTTCTTTTTGGTTTTCATTGAATGAAAAAATGTAAATAAATAAAAATGCTTAGTTAAGAAATAATAGTTAAAAGCTTTAAAGAGCAAAACTGGAGCTTAAATTTAAGTAAAATAAACTAGCTAAAAGCTAAATAAAAACAAATGTAGCTAAAAGATAAATTTAACTAATTCCTGGCTAGAAACTAAGCTGTAGCTATAATGGCTAAAGCCATAGCTAGAAGCTAATCTGTAGCTATAATGGCTAAAGCCATAGCTAGAAGCTAAAATTGCTAAAACAGTAGCTGCAGATGAACTTTTTGAAGCGTTTTGATTGCCGAACTGAAGAAATAAAAGGAGAACCAAATGCTGATTCAGCAGTTTTCAGTCATGACTCAGGACTTCAGGACTGGAGGTTTTTATTTCAAGCAGCAGAAGTTTTATAAATATTTTATTTCTGGGTGAGTCTTTTACTGGGTCTTCTGGGTGAAGGAGTCCCACAGAGCGGTCAGCTGGGCCTGCAGGTCCTGAGCGCTGGAGTCCAGCTTGGCCTTCAGCTCCTCTCCGAAGGGAACCAGACTCTGCTGGATCTCCTGGGTCTTCTGGGCCAGCTGGGTCTCGAAGCTGCTGGCCAGGGGGATCACGCTGCCCTGGAAGTCCTCCAGGCTCTGCTCCATCTTCTGCTTGATGTCCTCAGTGAAGGGCACCATCTGGGCCTGCAGCTGGCCCACGCYGGCCTCCAGCTGGCCCTTCAGATCCTGGCTCTTCTGCAGCAGGACCGCCTTCAGGGCCTCGGGGTTCATGGACTCTGCGTAGGGGGCCGCCTCCGTCTTCAGCTCCTCCACCTGGTTCTGGATCTTCTCCACCAGCTGCTCGGCGTAGGGCCTCACGTTGGCGCTCACAGAYGTCATGTCATTCTCCAGGCGGACCTTCAGCCGCTCGGCCTCCTGGGTGAACCGGGTCAGGAAGTCCTGGGACACGGGAGCCACCTGGGTCTGCAGAGCCACCACGTACTGGTTCACAGAGTCTGCGCTCTGAGAGATCCTGGTGCTGAGAGAAGAAACGGTTTCATTAAAGTTTCAGATGGACGTCAAGTTTTCAGCTAACAGGAAGTCTGGATCACCGGACTGGACTGGACCGGACCGGACTGGACTGGACCGGACTCTTACTTGAATTCCTGTCCCAGCTCAGACTCTCGGATCAGCTTCAGGTTGTCCTCAGCGGTTTGTGTCGCCTTGGCAACGTAKTCCCAGAAAGCATCTTTCACCACATCCAGGTTGGTTTTCTGCACCTCGGGCCACAGGATGTTGGCATGACACACTGTGGGCGGAGCATCAGGTTAACGTCACCTGTTTCAGACACACCTGAGATGTTTCAATCACACCTGAGACATGTTTCAGTCACACCAGAGATGTTTCAGACACACCTGAGATGTTTCAGACACACCTGAGACATGTTTCAGTCACACCTGAGATGTTTCAGACACACCTGAGTCATGTTTCAGTCACACCTGAGATATGTTTCAAACACACCTGAGATATGTTTCAGTCACACCTGAGATATGTTTCAAACACACCTGAGATATGTTTCAGATGCACCTGAGACATGTTTCAGTCACACCTGAGACATGTTTCAGTCACACCTGAGACATGTTTCAGTCACACCTGAGACATGTTTCAGTCACACCTGAGACATGTTTCAGA